TGTTGCTATCAGAGATGGATACACAACAATGAATAACGTTCATCGTGATTCTTTTCTCCATCCTTTTGAAAGATTATATGATTATCCTGGATCCACGGTGTCTATTTTTGTAACTGAATTACGTGCTTCTTTGGAAGGCATCAGAGCAACTCCTTGAGTTTGCGAATCACTTTCATCTTAGTGAATGGAATGCAGCAGCGCCTCGCTAAAGCTAATCTTTTCTTTCCAGTTTGAGCCCGATGGCTTTTGCTGATTCCGAGTACTTCCATGTTGTATCTCGTTATTTCCGTAGCTATTTGACTGATACCCCCGGTCTCCGAAATTGTCCGGACACTAAATAAACCTATGTTAATTATCCCTCTGGTTGTTATAAATGGCATGGTCCTTATGACTTCCGGACAATTTAGTCTTTCACCATGTGGTATCACAAATCTTCTGAATGAAGATATTTTCACTCGGAGGACGGAGTTTAAACGGTTGAAATTGTTTATTTTGGTCGGCGGACTTTTAGAAAGGTTGTTCTCTATGGGATGTGGTTGCCGACACTATGCCCAAACTTTCTTCATTTACCTGGCTTTAGGACCGAGATTAATTGGGAAGTGCTACAAGCCAAGTTGCAAACATAGTAATTTATTGACATCTTTTATTTTCTTCTTTAAATTCAGCTTAATATTCTTCTAAATTCTACAAAATCCGTTCAAATATGGCAAATATTACGTAGTCATTATTGAAGCATGCGTAATTGCGTTTCTGAAGTGGTTTCTACTTCATAACACCTACATACCAATAATCATATTAACTAATAAAAATTCTGGTTCTTGTAGTAATGGGTTGACGCAGTCGACAATTAGTAGACTGAAGGAAAATTGTAACTGCAACAAGCGTCCAAATATAACTGAGTACATCAAGAATTTCAAGATTTTTAAAAGCGTTGATGTTCGACGTACAGTGACGGGTGTATTAGCGCTTGACTTCTAAGTTGTCTAGTCATTGGAGGTGTGTTTCGTGAATAATCGAGACCTGGACCATCGCAATTGCTTTGCTGATTGGCTCCAGAAAATGATGTGTTAAGTCAAGTAACATGTTTATCATCATTATCAAATGCGTATAAGCGTTTTCTTTCCGGGAATTTCCTATCTCGACAGTTTTTATACTTGGAGGGCAGATAACAGCTTGCCAATAATATGGTTTATTTGCGAAAATACCTTGAGGAGATGTAACGTACACACAATATGATCAATCTCATAATGTGCTTGTTGTATGCAGTTAACTAATTGATGCGCGTTAGTTATCATTGTCCTTGATTACTTATTGTCAGTAACTTAACGATCGTCAATCAGTATTTCAGATTGGGTTAACGTTAAACTTGACAGTTAGTTTAATTTGGGCTCAGTGTTATCTCCCTAATCCACCAGGTTATTAGCTAGAACCCTATCATGTTCAAGATCATCCTAAAACACAACCTTCGGATTCTTGTCAGTCAGATTTCCCAATTTATCCAAAATGAATGATCTACCCGTGAAATCTAGTTCTATAGGGATTGTGTTTCCTTAATCTGAACTATTGACATTTTTGTTTAGCATCTCTAATTATTCGCCGACGCTCAACGGTATGGAATCGAGAAAACTCACTATGACTGAAAACGTTTGCCGAAATTTTTTTAATTTCTTCAATAAAACAACAGGATATACTAATTTCTAAAACAAACAAACGGTTAAAGTACACTGAATATGTGTTTACAGTAGAATTAATACCATTTAAAACCTTTATATGAATTTGATTAAAATGCTGAATCGTTGAATTTACAGAGAAGTTGATGGGTAACATCTTTGAATACATTATATAGCTTTCATAAAGTGCGTTTGCGTTTCTACATCGACATTATGAGCTACTGATGTCAATAATTCTACGCTCATATTTACACTAGATATACTTCGAAAATATAAAAATACTGATTCCTAATTTATGAAGATACAATCATTCAGTGATGTATGATTATTTAGACCATTATGTTTTATCAAGCCTTAACTATTCCAGATTTATTATGTAACCTTCCAATGACATGAATCAAATTCTTGTATCCATAGTAATCAATAATCTATTGAATCTGTACAAACCTATTCAATGTAAATAATAATTGAATGAACATATAAAATCTGTAGAAAAAAAAATAAAGTGCTTATCACAAAAAAGTATGTTTGTTTATATTTCGGGGGTAAGATGAAAAACCAAAAAAAGGAGGTTGTAATTATCATAGAGTAATCACGTGTATTGCCTGGAATTTGTAATTCTAAATTGTTTGAATTTACTAGAAGCGCAAATATTTCAATAATTTGAAAATTATGAAGAATGTACTCTTAACAGCATAATTTATTGGTTAAATATCTATATTTACTATTCGTTAGACATTTCATAGGAATTAGAATATAACAGGGGAATAAGATTATTATGTTAATCAAATATGGATAGTGGCTAGCAGTGGAATCTAGTTTGACGCGCGTTTCGTTTTATTTAGGACTCGTCACCTAGATGTACCTGAATCTCAGAGTTAATGTTCACTCTGGGACTCGAACCCAGTACCGTCCGCTTCAAATCCCATCACGCTATCTACTTAGCTACTGATTCCTGATAGCCACCTGGTTGTGCAATGAAGTGAAGTTTAAATTTACTTGGTGTTGTTTTACTTGTATCTTCCCATTTTTATTTAGGACTGCAATTAATCAGTCTCTTGTTGGTATATGTGCATGCTGTGCGGATGGCCTCGATATAGCCTTGAGTCATAAGCTTTTTAAGCAATGATGGATAGTGGCTAGCTTAGGAATATAAGATTACTATTTGTTACATCATACTACTATAATATAACCTAAGATTCTGCTGTAACTAGATACTCGGACGATACAATATACATAAACTTGATCAGGTTAGATCAAATAAATGACCAAAATAGGTTACCAGACTATAAGCTAGACAATATTTTAAATAACAAACCTACAGACAGTTCACAATCAATGAGATCCGATCAGGAACTAAAGATAGATAGAAAGGAAACTGAACATTGAACTGATTGTTTGTTTGTCTATGTTCGATGTCCAATCACATATTACCCATACTAATCACACATCAAATTACTTGTAGTTAGTAGGTGATGCTACAACAGAACAGCTACAGACAATCAGAATTTGCAACGTTCGATAAGAAGTGTTATCAAAACAGAAAGTAACATCAACTTTTGAAGCCACTGTCAGTTTGAGGTGCCATCGATGTCCTAGAAAACAACAACTCGGTAATTCAAATGATAAGTTTATAAAGTAGCATCAATATGACAGACATAAATCGACTTACACGTCACAACATATTATTTCGCGTTGTTGTAAAAACATTTTCAAATTACGTTAAGTGTAAAACTTATATTTTGATTATCCAGTCAAAACAACGTAGGACCTGGCACATATATGCATCGATCCAAGTTGCCGCACCTCATTAGCACAACAAGATGAATGTGATCTGTAGAGTTTCCAATGAATAGTCAGTATGTAAGTATCCAGTATATTCATTTCAATAAAGAATGTTGGTTAATCAAATTAATGTCGACTATCGTTGAGCAAATGAATACTGAGATAACTCATATCGGTTCTTATCATAACACTGTTTAAAGTTATCTTTTCGTATTGAAAATATCATTCAGTCAGTCAGCTACAACGTAGGACCACGCACATATATATATCGATCGAAGTTGCCATACCTCAATAGCACAACAAGTTCAACACCAAATTCATAGTAGTTACTTCAATGGTATTAATGTATAAAAAAGGTTGTAAATAAAGATATAGTATAGAAATAAAGAATTAGTTCGTCGAAAGAAAAGTATAAAACAATCTTAATCTCACGATTCAAGGGGAGATAAAGAGTGTATACACCTACACCATAGTGATCAATTATGAGCCATGTCATCCAGAGTTTCCAACCATTTGGTTACAATAGTCTGAGCAAATGTTGTTGCATGTCGAACTGTATTTATTCATACCAGTTAAAAGTATAAAAGAAATTTTCAAACTAAATTTCACATTGATCTATGAACACTTGTGTAACATAGAAAATAGTAGTCTAGTTACAATTCTGTATTGTTCTTATCTAGTCACTTGAATATTCACTAACAAGACTAAAGTTAGCACAAATAAATAAAATAAAATAAACAGACCTCATTTGTATCACTTACAAAGGAACATGAGATAGAATGAACTAATCTCTCTGTATTTTCATAATTAATAACACACTCATTTAAATGATGTTAATAATAACAATACTACTATTAAACTACTTATACAATTGTCTATATTGAATTAGACAACATCACAGTTATGAAATCATTCATCCTTCTATGATTAATGTTAAACTATTTAAAGGTAATAAATCATATTCCACCCATCAAATAGTATGAGCTCATTAAATAAATACCAATTTCATTTAGATTTATAATTAAGATGTATATATATATATATATATATATATATATATATATATATATATATATATATATATATATATATATATACTAATGAAGATGAATAACTCCGCCTGGACCTAGGACAGATTGGGTTAGACAATGATGGTCAGTGACCTATACTCCATTAGGAGTAACAAGCATTAGTCATTAAGTAATGAAACTGAATACAATTTGTTTTATATATATATGAATAGAATAAACAATGTTAATCATTTCATGAATATCCCTTTACTTCTTTACTTTAAATTAAAACAAATGCAAAAGTAAGAAGAAGGAGAAAGAAACGAAAGAAAAAGAAAAACATCAACAACAACAACAACAAAAATAACAAAATAGAAAATCAATAAATCTCGAAACAGGAAATCACAAAGGTAACTAATAGAAATAACAAAAGTAACAGATACCATTTTCAAACAAACAACAAAAATGGGCGCGAAAAAACAAAACACAATATACATATATGTGGTATTTACACAATTGAATATTGAAATTCAAATTAGATAAATCGGGAATTCAATTTGAATGATTCTTTGGACAAAACATCATTATCTTGATCAATCTCATCATTGTCATTATCATCATCATCATCCTTTATTGTAGTCATAGTAGTAACAGTATTCATTAAATCAATATTATAATTATTTATGATATAATATTGAAAATATTGTAAAATTTTATCAAGTTTTTTAATAAATACATCAATTTCATATTCATTTTGACCAATTGATGAAGCTGCATTAATATATGGTCTAATAGATGTGGAACTATGTGAATTAAATCCATCAAATTCATAAACATCTAATTTGATAGAATTTTGCATAGATGCCGGTAGAACAACTCTAGAAATCAATATAAAAACAAAATGAAGTAACATTATATTTAGTACTTACTTAGTGAGAAGCTGTGACTAGTGGAGCTAATCCGTGTTGGGTTAAGACAGGTATGAAAGATGGTCACGTAATTTCATGGATTGGTTGAATTTGGACATTAATACCGTTAGATGCCGACCGGTTCAGTGGTCTAGAGGTTAAGTGTTCGCACGCGAAAACGAAGGATCTAGGTTCGAATCCCCCGAGCATGATCGTGAATGCGCACTGCTGAGAAGTTTCACAATGGGACGAAATAGCCGTCCAGCGCTTCTAGGTTTTGATAGTGGTCTAACATCAATCGGTTCATGATCGCAATCAAATATATATGTGTCAGTTCAAGTTGTTAATGGTATATATTAGAACAATAAGGTAAACTATAAAATAGAAGAATATTAGGAAGTCTTAAAAGTGGGACATTATGAGTTCAATATAAAATAATTTCTTCGGAATAGGAAATCAGAAGATTGTTATGAATGTGCATTCCTCGCAACAAAAAAAACCTTACAGTACAGTTATATGAAATTGATTATATACAAATGCCCTGGTACGGCCGAGAGTGGGGAGAGTCCGCTCTCCCTCTCGAAATGCTGTCACACGGCCACGCGTATATAGCCTCTGCCAGGGAAGTCCTACTCACTGCCTTCTCAGGGCGGGGGTGTTGTTTACGAAAATGAGAGGACGAAAAGCGAATGTCCGGCGCTTTAAACCGGATCACAAACCAATGGTGCACATGGGCTCCAGTATCCTGAGGGAACAAATGGCGTATGAACCGATTGTTGGTCATCGGCTTCCATGGGACTGCATCTCCTTACGATGCTCCACTGCCTTGTGGTTAGACCTTTAGGTCGAAGGCTCGGGGTGTGGCCCCCTAAGAAAACCACCTGCTTCGGTTTGGGCACCCGGGTAGTATCACAGCCCTGACACATATCTAATGAGATTTGTGTGGCGCATATGTATTTGGTGCCTCTTTGTACCATTATCTATGTGTTGAAATAAAATAAAATAAAATATACAAAGAAGTTTAAATAACAATAATTTCAATGATAATAGAAAAAAACCAAATCATGAAAATACCGTTTAAAAAAGAAGGAGTGGATTCATGGAATTAAAGTATTTAACTTGAAAACCACAAGATAAAACAATCAATGCATCCAAGTCACTCTGACGGATCTTGAACCACGTTATTTATGGTTTGTAAATATTAGCCTCAATCAGGTAATATGCGCACCTAAGAACATAAATTACAACAACAATCAATAATTTCATAGACTAATTCCATGTCTTAGTTCGGCTCTCTTTCGCTCTCTAGCTTACTTCCAGCCTACCGTAACACTAAAAAGTAATGGCAATCAAAGTAAGCAATGAATAGGCTTACGTAAAACTTTTCTCAGTGGCAGATGGTTTTAAGTTATTTATAATTGATTCATGTTCATCTCTCTCCTGCAACGATAATCCTAAGCACATTACTTCTACATCATACCATACTTTGCTGCTAAATACACAAGGTTATTCTACTTAAATTCTGTCTTCATCAAATACCATACTTTTTCTAAACTACTGAATTCTTCTTGCGTTACATCGTATAACGATAGATGTTGAAGCGTTGAATGTGTTCTGTTTGATCATTAAGGATCTGGATAGACCAATAGGCTTTATAGTAATTTATGGTAGTTACTGATGATCATTTTTGTTATTGGTTAGACAAATCATCAGTCTGATAGACGTAAACTGAACTCATAATTAGTAGACTTCATAATCTAGTGATATAACTGAGTTGGACAGTATGACAAGCTTAAATTCATAAAATGAAGCCTAATACAATAACCATCAGTACTTAGTAAATGAGTTGCCATCTTTGTTTTATTATTATATATCTGAGTATAATGTATCTATTTACTTTACAACATGGTGACATGTAGAATAAAGATGAACTTGATAAAAGAGCAACAATTAAAAGGTATCTAAAGCATGACATATTGAATACGAGTAATGAAACGTGTTATTTCTATGATAAAGAATAAAATATGATGAAATGATCTGACTCATTCATTGATATTCAAGTTTCTTTTTGAGTGAATGTGTGTGTGTGAGAGAGAGAGAGAGAGAGAGAGAGAGAGACTGTAACCACGAACATCACATGATATGAGAATTTGGAACGTCAGATACTATGAATAAGTATTTCTAATTTTCTCACATTATAACAATGAAACACTTCTTATCTAATCTAAAACAAATCTCATGTTTTTATAATGAGTGACAATGTATGACCCTCAGTCAACTACAACGTAGGACCAGGTACATATATGCATCGATCCAAGTAGCCACACCTGATTAGTACAGCAAGATGAACACCAGCTTTCATAGAAGTAGTCGTTTTAATGGTAGTAATATATATAAAAGACAGATTGCATACAAAGATAGAGTATAGGAAGAAAGAATTAGTTCGTAGAAAGATATAGAGCGATTTTCATCTTATAGTTTAAGGGAAGACAGAAAGTGTATACACTGACATCATTGTGAACGATTTAGAGCCATGTCATCCAGAAACTCCAACCATTGATTAAGATAGTTACACTAACCTCAACCAAATAGTCTGCATCTACCAATATGACATAGCTATGAGAATAAAATTTGAAGCATTAGCTAATTCAAAAAAAAACACAATCGTTTACAAGTTAATCTAATCATGAAATTTACTTACCTTACACCTGAACATCCTTGTGTGAATAGATTAGCACCAATTTGTGTTAGTTGACGAAATATCTCTCTTTTCTGATTATCTTCTATCATGTTATTTTTCCCGAATTTCTGTATAGTAATTGTTTTAGGAAGAAGATTTTCTAAGCTTAATGCTAATGAAATAGGATTGGATGAAGTATCTAATAATTTTAAATTAAATTTTTCACTTAATTGTTTTAATCCATTATGTAATCGTTTGAAACATATAGATTGACGTTGAATTAAATCATTCCAACCTTTATTACCAAGATAAAGTAATGTAGCAAAAGCATCCAATGTTGGTGATCCTGAAGCTCGACCTATACATATATATAATGTTGGAAAATAAAAGCAGATATGAAAAGGATGAATAACAACTGGAAACAGCTGGAAAGGATTGCAAAAAACAAGGTTGAATGGAGAGTGCTGATGGGTGGACAGTGCTCTTTCACGAGGGGTAACAAGAGTAAGTAGTAGTACCAAGTACTATTCACGTATTATGTAAATTATATTAACGCTGGGTGTAAATTAGCAAGTTGGGTTTAGAGATTGATTAATGAAGCTGTGAACTATTGACAGAAAAAAGGGATTGTAATAGATGTCATGAATACCTATCTAACATTATGTGCTATGAGGGTGCTAGTCAGTTGAGCGAAAACTGACAACTCCTAAAGAGCCAAGAAATAGTATTTGTCAATGAAATCACTAGTTTTTATTCTAACATATATCAGAAGGTATAGATTCTCTGTTATGGATTCATGAACAAGAAATAATCATTATTTACGGTAACAAATAAAGCATCTAGTAACAACATGGTGTAAACTGATTACAGTAGCACAGTTTCAATTATTCTCTAACTCTTGAATAAAAGTGTCACATACTATACTTCTAATCATTATATTACATTTGTTCATCTTTTTGCATTGATCTTCGATTGTTTAATTTCTTACTACCATTTATGGTATTCTCTCATCTTTTCTATACTTTCATCTTATGAATCTTTCCTCATTGAACTCACATAACTAACAACGGACGACTTGTGTCCCAAACACGATTTATTGGTTATAACTGAAGTTATTTATGTATTAACTAACTATCTACAGAAATTGTTAGCGGAATATAGATTAGATTAAGGTACGCCTTGTGCAGGATTGCGTTAGGGTACACTGATTAACTATTTCTTAACCAATCAGCGTTAGAGGATACTTGGAGAAGACCCTATAATCTTCTTAAGTGAAGTTTATGAACATACTAGCGTTTTTAACATTGTGATTTGTACTAACATTCAACTTTGTTCATCTATAATACAACTGAGTTATTCTTTAAACATGTTTTGATTTGGGGACTCATCAAGTGAAATAGTATCCAAGACTACTAAATAAGAAGAGTAACTAAGTCGTAATAATAAAATTCATGACAGAAATGAAACTGTATAATCGACAATTTAAATTATAGTGAAATGTAGATTCAGTAACTTCAGTAACTCAAGTAATGATTCAGGTAAAAATAAGGATTAGTCCTGTTCGACCTATGTTGAATAACAATGGATGAAATAGAAATATTTTCAATAATTTGATAAGACGTGAACCAATAAACTTCTACTAAGTTAAAAAGAACTTTTTAATGGGCTATCATCAGAAGTATCAGTGAACAAGATGAACATTTTGACTCGTATGTTGATATTATTTCAAAGACCCAAACAATTTAGGAAACTGATACAATAAAATTGAAAATACACTACCTGTCGACTACCTCCAACCACCATCTAATCTCAATATATAGTGCCCGCAGTGTCGAGTCACCTAGACTGGTGGCCACATTGCAACATGATCGGTAGCATTCGATCTGCACTAATAAGGACTAGACACGCATGACATTGATCGCCACCCAGTGATCAATCAATTGTGATACACTACCTTCGCTTGGCGAGGTGGGTGTTTACGAAATTGAGAGGATAAAAAGCGAATGTACGGTCATTTAACCGGGTTGGTGGACACAGAAGGTTCGCCTAGGGGAGTTGGAAAACCCTGATTTAAAACTAATGGTACGCATGGGCTTCAGTATCCTGAGCGAACAAATAGCGTATGAACCTATTGTTGGTCACCACCTACCATATGACTGCATCTCCTGTTGTTGCTCCACTGCCTAGTGGATCAGATCTTTAGGTAGAAGGCTCCGGGTATGGCTTCCTAAAAAAAACCACTTGCTTCGGTTTGGGAACACAGGGCAGTATCCCAGCCCTCACATAAATCGAATGATTATGTGGCGCATATCTATTTGATGCCTTCTTGCACAAATGTTTATGTGTTTTAAAAAAAACAAATAATAAAGACAAAACAAGAATTAATAAAGAACATTATTATCTTACCGGGATAAAGTTTGGCGACAAAATCAACTAAATCAGTAGAAAATCCACCGATTACAGCTCCACCAACTGGTACCATTAAATTTTTATCAGTACTTTGTACATATAACAAATCAATTGGTTGATTACTTGAATCTAAGAAATAATAAATATAAAAGTGATTGTTGTTGAAGGCTAAATGTAAGGATAATGACTAATGTGCTAAACTCAACCCATTTAGTCAACAATGATGAAATGATTAACTCTTAACAACTAATAAAACTAATACAAAAAACTCAATTCAAAGGTGTTGTATTAAGTGAGTTGGATGACTTAGTCATGAACTCTCATTATCCCACTGGACAACATCAACAGTATAAACTTCAAAGAGGACTGTAATTAGAATTTCCCTACAACAGACTAATAGCTTGTTTTATTGACTTGGAATTCGGTTGATCTTTGTCTGTAATTATGTGGCTGTAGTTGGAATGTTTGTTTTGATTTTTTCCTTCGCTGACGTGATCTCTGACCTTCTAGTTGCTAATACGTGTTTTATTGGCTGATAGATCGGATTGATTTCAATATGCCTATTGACTGAGTGCCAGGTCTTTAAAAAATTCCTAGCCTTCTTTG